CCAGCCAGACTGACTCGTGCTGACCAAGGAAGAAAAGTGACAGTCATCTCCAGAAAGGCTGCTGAGGAACTGAGAATCTGTTTTGCTCTCTGCTCCGGCCACCCCATGATAGGCTGCCCCAAGAAGCTGCATCCCTTCAAGGAGAGGGCTGCCCATGTCCACGAACTCCAGAGGCTGAGCCAAAGCGTCCTCAAGCCCAGGAAGCCTGCACCTCTGCCCAGGGAAAAATGGCCTGGTTTTGGTAGCTGCCATTTAGCCAGTGCCATGGACACAGGCCAGGGTGACTTCAAGTGGCAAGAAGGAGTGGGGACAGGTCCCGTCCACTGCATGATGACTGGGACAGGGCCTTCTGCAGCTGTCATCACTCCTACATGGAGGGTGCAGACGTCAAGGGACAGGGCTGTACATCCTGCTACCTATATCCAGCTCCCACTCCTGCCACCTGAGGCCCAGGGGTCTCTCTCCCACCTGCTGGGGGTACGAGACAGCTGGGCAGCCCTGCAGCTTAAGGGGCTCCCTCCCAGAAAAGCCAGCTCCTCACCACTCCACACCAGTAACATCACTGTTGATAATACCTTAGAAATATTGACTGCTTACTGCCAGACACCCTGTTCCACATCCCTACATTCCTGGGCCCCAAGTGGCAGTATTCCCATTGCAGATGAGGAAACCAAGGCCGTGTGCCGATGAGTGTTGCTACAGGTGAGGAAACTGGCTCGGGGGGTAAAATGGCTACTTTAAGCCACACCAGTCAGACTCAACATTCAGAACCCTCGGCAGCACCCAAGGATGCCTCTGGTCCACCTCCCCCATGTGAAGCACTCGGAGATTTGTGTGGGCGTCCTGGCCCACCCCCCTGCCCCTACCCAAACACAGATTCGAATTTCGGGGGTGGTCTGGAAGCATAAGTAACTCACAGGACTCCACCTCATGAGGAACAGGTGAGCAGAACTGACACCATCCCACCTGGCCAAAGCATTCAGGTCCCAGAAGGGTACAGGTAGGAAAATTCGGAGGCCAGGGAAGGAAGCTCATCGCAAAGAGAAGGCCTAAAGCTCCCAACAGCCTAGTTCACCCCCAAGTCCCCGCCCTCCCCCTACCACCCGCCCAGCTGTCACATCCCCACTCGTCCCCCCAGTGGCTGGACCATCTCTGACCTTAACCAGGGGACTGTTGGCCAGTAGTCCACACCCAGCAAGCCTGCTCTCAGCTCCAGGAGCAGTGTGCAGCCCACACCGCAGCCCTGGGACTTTGCACTCCCTGACACCCTTCAGAGCAGTCCGTCCTGTGAACTCACAGACCTGCTCAGGAACTGGTGCTGCCACGCCCTCAGCAGTAGCCTAGCCAACTTTGAGGCCATTGCCAGCCAGCCCCGTAAGGGAGCAGGTGCTACCTCCAAAGATATGTTAATTTATCGAGAAAATACACTGTGCCACACAGTCCTGTCATCATCCCCATTCTATCGACAAGGGAGCTAAGATACAAAGACACACGGCTACTGGCAGGGCACCAGTCTGGCCCACATAGTGGGCCACAAAATATACATACATGACCAAGCCCTAACACCCAGAACCTATGAATATGACTCTATTTGGAAGGGTCTTTGCAGATGTAATTAAGGATCTTGAGATAAGATCATCCTGGATTTAGGGTGGGCTCTAAATCCAAAGATGACTATCCTTATAGATAAAGACACAAAGGGGAGAGGCTGTATGAAGACTGAAGCAGAGATTGGGGTTCTGTTGCTCCAAGCCAAGCAACACCTGGAACCGCAAGAGGCAAGAAAGGGTCCCCCGCCCAGAGCCTCCAGAGGGAGTGTGGCCCTGCCAACACCTTGATTTCAGACTTTTGGCCAGGAACTATGAGAGAACACATTCCTGTTGTTTTAAGTCACCAAGTTTGTTATGTCAGCTCTGGAAGACTAATACAAATAGGTTCGGCTGACTCCAGAAGCTCTGTTCCCAGGCCCACATCAATGTTACGTGAGCATCGAGGGGAAAAGAACCTTTCAGACTCCTGGGACTATACCATCCCAGACTAAGGATCTCAGTTTGAAAAATATGCACTTTCTCCTCTTTACAAACAATGTGGCAGTTATGAATTTGAAAAGAGAAGTGTTATCTTCATTTCTCAAACAATTCAAGATTATCAACAAAACACAAAAGTAAAAAGCTCTCCTGGACAAAGATGTTAGGGGAAACTGGGTATGGGGCATACAGGAAACTCTCTGTACTATCTTCCTAATAATCCTATAAACCTCAAACTGCTTTAAAGTCAAAAGAAACTTATTTACAAAAGAAAAACTAAGTCTCTTGGAACTCTTTTGCGGATAAGCCCTGAGACCCTAGTTTGAAAAACTACCCTCCTTTATTCTGTTCCCCATTAATGCCTGCAGAATGAATGGCCATGCTTATGATCTGGGGGACCCTGCTGAGCTTAAGATGCAGCTTAAGTGTCTGTCCTGAGCTCTGATGCTCACCTGGGACACCCTTCTGCCCTCTCCTCATCTGGTCCAAAAGACCTAGCTCTGTCCCAGCAAAGAGGTGCGACACCTGGTAAAAAGACTCAGCTCCTGTAGTTTGGGTTTTCCAAGTCAAGGCAAAGTTCAACCCTGTGTGAACCAACAGCTCCCCACACTTCTCTTCACACCCCATTACCAAAGTGTAAAAAAATTCACACAGGCCAATGGCTAATAAGGGACTCCTGAGTGGCTCCCCAGAGCATCGGGGCAAGAAACCCTCAGAGACAAAGCTGAATGAAACAGAATAGCAAAATGTGAAGGAGAATCAAGAATGGGAAAGAACAGATAAGAGAGTATCAAGAGAAAGAAAAAGGATGAACTACATACAAAGACTCGGGTCCTCGGCAAACACATTTGTGATTCTTTTTTTCCCAATGAAATGTCAGTTTTGAAACTAGCTTCTGAAAACACACCCGCTTCTCACATCCCCTAAAAGGAAGATCAGAGGACCGTGGCGCGGGAGGAAGCTGTTACCTTCTCGGAGCCCGGCAACGAGAAGGGGCCCTACCCATCCACGTTTTCACCAAGAGCACATCCAGGGGCTCGCACCACCCGCGCGTGGGCCCCTCTCCGCTGATATATAAGTTTCCGACTCTGGGAACCCGAACACCAAGCCCTCCAGGTGGATGGAAGCAGTCCTCCAAGTAGCACCAGACTGGGCACCACTTTCCAACTGTCCTTAGCAGTCCAGGAGGTCCCCTGAGATGGCCAGAGGCTGCCCACACCCCTCCCGGCCCACCCCCCGCCAAGGCGGCCACACCCGCCCGCGAGATTCCCACCTCTCCCACCCCCCAGAACCCCTTCCTACCCATCTGGCCCCCGGCTTCCTCCGAATTCACCTTCCATTCTCAGCCCCTCACTTCCTCCCCACCCCTCCCAATCTCAGGGCCCTCACTCCCCCCTTTCCCGCTTCCCTCCGTACTCGGACACCTCACCTCTGGCCACCACGCACGCCCTCTTTTCTCCCTCTGCCCCTTGACACCGTTCTTCCACACCCCTCGCTCAAGGCCCCCCCAAACCCGGCTCGCTCGGCTCGGCCCCACGCACCACACACCAGGCACCCACGGCGTGGGGCCCCGTACCCTCGGGACG